TCACATGATCGATCTTGTGCACAACAACATTTTGTTTACATCGTGAAACAACGAAAATAGCAAAACCGATTATTGTTAATACGGTCATAACTTTGAATATTAGTTTTCGTGATTAAGTTGCAATGTTTTGTGGTTTAAAATTTGGTGGTCATTAAGTTTGTTTATGTGCATAATTAGATTTTGGTGTCTTTTCAGTGGAGTGTCGCAGTCACAAATATCTGCATGTGGTGGTGCATCAATATCGAGTTCAATAACAGGTATGCAACTGACGAGAAGGAACAATACGCCTGGAGGTGCTACTAGTAATGCATCATCAGCACAGCGTCGTCTCAACTATAGAATCTTGTCCGATATGCCTGATGAGGATTGGGGCATACCCGATGTTTGTCTGCAAAAAACTGCTGAGGTTATTCTCTCCTCTAGTTCGTGAACTTTAATTGGGTGGACATCTCCATCTGTGAATGAAAATTCATCGTTTTGCAAGGACGTTTCATTCATCGTTTGTGGTAAAGAGTTCAAAAATATGTGTGTGTGAGTTGTATGTGCGATAATTTTAGGTCGTATTTATAATGGAACAAAAGAATAGTCGTAAAGCAGTTGGAATGCTGAAAGTAATGGCTGATGGGAATCGCAATTGGGCCCTGTTCTCGCCTGGTGATTCACGTATGCCACGAATGATGATTCCTGCCGATCAGATGCCCGCTGGTTTCTTCGAACGGCCACTTGATTTCAGTAAATTCATATTCGCTGCTCATATGGTGGAATGGCAGGCCACTGCGCAGTTTGCTAGAGGGTTCGTTGGTTGATGCACTCTGTGCTCCAGTCTGATCTGTCGAAATGATTTTATGCAAAGCTTCCTGGGAGACGTTGAAGAAATATTGCAAGAAAAAAAATCTAATATTATTTTGAAATGGTTTATCATTGAATTGGTATTTAATTGGAGTGAAAGGAGAAAGTTATTTTCATACATTTCACATGAACTAGTCTGATTATGCGGGTGAATGAGTTTCAATTGAGAATTATGATGTTTTGTGGAGCAAACCTGCTGCAAGATCTTATCCCTTGACTCAGTCATTGGAGTGTTCTTTTTTTTTTCAGGAAATTATACAAAAGTCTTGGGTTGGCGGGTGATATTGAAGCAGAAACTGAGGGTCTTTTGTTGGCAAACGATATTGATACGCGAGAATTTTCAGCATCGTCACTATCGTCCTTACCCATTTCTGATGGAGTTCAATGGTCCATTGATGAGGTAACCTAGAGAATATGTGCCATTTTCTCTACGAATTGATTTATTCGCCTTATTTTTCAGTCAAAGTTTATGTAATTTATGAAGCGATCTTACGATTGATATGTAAATGAAGCAGTTAATTGCTTTTTATAAAAGTTTTTTTATAAAAGTCCGTTTAACATAGTTTATTTCTTTGAGTTTCATTAGTGTTTCCGTAAGATCCACTCTTGTATTGATGGGACCTACTCTGTCTGTTTTTTGTATGCAACAATCCTAGTCGTGAACACGAACACTTTCTTATTCATTCTAATACTTATTGATGTCATGAGTATGTTTTGATGGATCACGATCCATCATCATTTTAAATTCCATATAAGATTTCTGATTTGTCTTGCTTATCTTATTCGAAACTTATCACACAGTTGTTGCAGAAAGAATTCAAATATCGTCGTGATTTTCGCAACGAGACCGTCTTTACAATTGATCCATTATCGGCACGAGACTTGGACGACGCACTCCATCTAAAACCAATTGATGATTGTGATGGTGCTGGTAATCCTGGATGGGAGGTAAGAATATATTCCTGTCCGAGTTCTTATTGTTTGAGTCAACTAGTTAATGATCGAATTCGACGATCTTTTGGAGCGGGATGAATAAACATGATAATAGGTTGATCTAAAATGCTTTTTGATATCGTAATAAAGCTTTGAAATGATGACCATTAATGATGAGTAAGTTGTAATGAATCACTTTTGCAGGTTGGAGTCCACATAGCAGATGTATCGCACTTCGTTCAAGCTGGTACGGAGCTGGACCATTGGGCTGCCAGTCGAGCAACATCAGTTTATCTTGTTCATAAGGTTTGGGTGTTATAAAGTGATTCAAGTTTATGATTTTTGAATATTTCTGAGACTGAGAGCGTTGGTATAATTAATTATTGCAATTGAATATCTTTGAGTGATTTTATGTTCGTTCATTGCATTTTTTAAATATGGTTGACTTAATGGAACTGATGAAATGGGAACTTGATGTCTCGAAAATTGTTTCCAAGTAATTCTGTTGGGTTACATTAAACTTTTAGGTGATTCCAATGTTGCCACGAATTCTGTGCGAAGAACTGTGCTCACTGAACCCGGGTGTAGACCGTTTGACGTTTTCGGTTGTATTCAAAATGAACTATCAAGCTGAAGTGTTCGATCAGTGGTTTGGTCGTTCGATTATACGTTCTTGTTGCAAATTGGCTTATGAACATGCACAGGTACGCATGATCGCTTTACCTCAGTCGTCTTGTTTATTACATTGGTGTTTTTACTTTTTTAAAACTCATATGTTACTGTTTTTACTCATTCTTCTCAACTGATTACATAACCGGAATGGATTTTGTATACTCGCTCAGTGACATGCCTACGTGCCTCATCCTTTTCAACCGCTAGCCATTAATTTTTGTTTTCATTCGTTTTCACTTGACTGAGAAAGTTGATGTTGTTCTGCTATCTAACAACACTCGAGTCGTTTCAAATTGTTCCAGTTTATCATCACGTTGTGCTTCGAGTTTGATGCCAGTTTGGCTTGAGAAATAAGTATATGACTTAGTGTGGTTACTGCTTAGACTTTTGAGAGNNNNGATAAATTGAAGGATATGATCGAGCACGAGGATAAAGAATTCGCTAAAGAAGAACTACCGGAAATATATGATAACAAGAGCGCAGCAGAAATCCAACAAATTGTCGTACGTCTGAATAAGGTGTTTTTTAATTGAATTCTTTCTTTTTCTTGCGTTTGTTGCAATATGAAAATTGTATCACTGTTTCGTTTCAGCCAAGTAAAATTGCATGTATGATTTTATACTATAGCTAAATCACTTTATTTCTAGTCCATATAAAGATAGCATGAGTTGCGTTGGAAATGGTAAAGTAAAATTCTTCATTAGAAAAGTGAATGGAATCATTGAGGGTAATTTTCAAAAGAGAGTGAGCAGAGTTGTGCATTCAAAATTCTAAATGTATATCGTATGCATTCATGTATCTTTAATGAGATTGGTTTGTAGTTGGCACAACTGCTACGCAAAAATCGTTCGGATCACGGTTCATTGCAGTTGGATCAACCCAAGTTGTGCTTTAGATTAGATGAAACCAGTGGTCTGCCGATAGCAGTCTCGATTCATGAGGTATAAACTCGAAATTGGTATCAATATAAGACTACTGAAAGAATTGTGATTTCAGTTACTCTTTCATAATTATATTATCGATGTTATTACTTCCATTCGTACTGTTCTTAAATAATCTACATTTCGATCGATTAAGCCAAACGAAGTTGCTTGCATGTTCCAAATATTTTCTGCTTACAGCAAAAAGACGCCAACAAACTTGTCGAGGAATTCATGTTGCTAGCGAATATGGCAGTAGCACGTAAAATTGAGAAAGAATTCCCAAAAATAGCACTTCTTCGTCGACATCCTCCACCCAAAGCCAAGGTTATTAGTTTGAACGCTCTATTGAATTACCTGATATTCGTTAGTTCTTTAACTTTATTGACATTTTCACTAGAGTATCACAATCTTTCGAGACCTCATTTTAAAGTATATCACTGTGAAAGATTCTTATATTCATTTACTGGAAGCTTCCCTTTATTCCTTTAAATATACCGAGTCAAATTCACATGATAATA